GTTTGGTAATATCGGTTTGGTAATGTCTAATGCTATTTATTAGGAAAAGGCAGTCTTTCTTTTAGTTTTTTATGACTACTCCCAATATAAAATGCATAAGAATGTGGGTGAACTACAATTCCCAGAATCATGAGTCAATCCTTCCCAAACCCTGCCATTATTCAAAGTTGGCCATGTTGAGTCTGTGTGCCAAGTGTGGTCCAGATTTGATATCAGCTGGATTCAGTGATATCTAGATAAGGGTGAACTACAACTCCCATATCCCTAGGGCAATCACCCACAAAAACCCAGCCAGTAATCACAGTTGCCCATGTTGATTCTGTGTGCAATGTTTGGTCCAGATCCATCTCGGCTGGGCTCAGTGCTCTCTGGATAAGGGTGTACTACAACTCCCAGATTACCAGGGCAATCACACCCAAAACCTTCCACTATGTACAGTTGGCCACGTTGGGTCTCTGTGCCAAGTTTGGTCCAGATGTGTCATTGTCTAGGTTCACTGTGATCTCTGGATGTAGGTGAACTACAACTCCTATAAATCAAGGTCAATTCCTCCAAACCTGCTCATGGGGGTTCTGTATGCCAAATGTGGTTCAGATTCATTACTGAAGGAGGTCAGAGTGCTCTGCCTTGATGCAGGGCGAACTACAACTTCCATCCTGTTGACTCAGTCCCCCAAACCCCTCCAAGTCTGTTCAGTTGTTGATCAATTTCTCTCTGTTTGCTGTGTGCCGAAGGAAAGGGTTAAGGGAGAGGCAGTGGGTGTGGTCATGCAAATTCCACACAAGGAACCCTGTGATGCCTGCCTGTGGTGGTGGAAACACATCAAATCTAGGATGAAATTATCCTTGAATGAAAGCATTCCTTGGGTGGTTAGTGTTTGGAGAGGTTAGTGTTTGGGCTACAAGTTCATGATGATTGTCATAACCTGCAATGTCAGTTGAGGGAGTGCCTTTGGGGGCTTCTCAGCACTTGGAACTGTAGCTTGTTTGTGGAGGTGGGAGGTTGTGGTGAACACCTCCACCACATAGACATCTGGGAAATAAGAGACTGCAAGGCTTATTTTTTTTATTGCTATTGACTGCATATTTTAAAAAGGGAATGGTATTTCCCTTATGGCAACATGCATATATACTACATATATGCATAGATACATACTCTATCTACCTATCCATCTCTTTATCTATGCCAGAGTGGTGCTATAATTGATACTGCAGTTATTCAGTTGTGACAATCCAAGTAATTCTGTAGGAATTCCACACAAAAGCCAGCATACAAACATCACAATAATAATTACATTTTATTCCTAAGCTCTTACTGTTTCCCTTTCGTGATGTGAAAATGGTAATGAAAGATAAATGGGCGCACTCAGTCTGGGCCACCAAAGGAGTACATTCCATGGAACACAGTTTCCAGAGAATATGATAATCTGCCATGCCTTCTGACCCCAAAGACACAAATCACAGCCCTCTGTTTTCTTGGATTTCTGCCAGTTAATCCAAAACAACTGCTTCCAATTTATCTCATGCTCTTAATATTTCTAAAGCAGATTAGACTACAACCTGCTAAGCTATAATCATTCACTGAATAAAAGTGGCAACTGCTCTCTTGTAGTTGTTCATACTTTCATCAATCCAAGATGATGGTTTAAATCAGTAAACAAGTGACAGACTCGGATGCAGAAAGTCATAGATTCTGTCTAGAAAGGGCTAAGAAAGTATCCTATCAGTTATTAGCTAGCTATTGCTTTTCAGGATAGACCAAGGGCCCTTCCACACAGCCATAAGATCCAGAATATCAAGGCAGAAATTCCTACAATATCTGCTTTGAACTGGGTTATCTGAGTCCACACTGCCATATATTCCAGTTCAAAGCAGAAAATATGGGATTTTATTCAGCTGTGTGGAAGGGGCCCAAGTCATTGTTGAGATGGACTTAAAGTGATCTGATGCAATAAAAGACATAGAATTGGGAATTTAATTGCATGCATATTTACATAACTGCAAGTTCCAGTTATTTTCAAGTAAATATACCTAGAATCCAGGCATAAAAGTTCTCAAGCATTGACCTCTAACTTATAAACAACCATTTCCTATGGATGCACGCAGAGGGAGTGAATAAGTGGAAGTGAAACAGGGGCAAAATGTGTGCTCAAGTTACCTGTCAAGTTATGGTGATGCAATGAATTTCATAGGGGTCATGAAGTAAGTGTCAGAGGGGTCACCAAAAACCATCAGTAAACACAGTATTTTCTGTTGGTCATGGGGTTCTGTGTGGGAAGTTTGGCCTGATTCTATTGTTGGTAGAGTTCAGAATGCTCTTTGATTGTAGGCGAACTATAAATCCCAGCAACTACAACTCCCAAATGTCAAGGTCTTCCCCAAATTCCACCAGTATTCACATTTGGGCATATTGAGGAATCGTGCAAAGTTTGGTTCAGATTCATCATTGATCCATCATTGTTTGAGTCCACAGTGCTCTCTGGATGTAGGTGAACCACAATTCCAAAACTCAAGGTCAATGCCCACCAAACTCTTCCAGTATTTTCTGTTGGTCATGGGAGTTCTGTGTGCCAAGTCTGGTTCAATTCCATTGTTGGTGGAGTTCAGAATGCTCTCTGATTGTAGGTAAACTATTAATCCCAGCAACTACAACTCCCAAATGACAAAATCAATTCCCTCCAACCTCACCGGTATTCAAATTTGAGCGTATTGGGTATTTATGCCAAATTTGGTCCAGTGAAAGAAAATACATCCTGCATATCAGATATTTACATTACGATTCATAACAGTAGCAAAATTACAGTTACAAAGTAGCAACAAAATAATTTTATGGTTGGGGGTCACCACAGCATTAAGGGGTTGAGGCATTAGGAAGGTTTTGTTCCTTCCTTCCTCCAAAATGTAGTCTATAGCACTTGGTACTAGTTAGTAGTCTCCCATCCAAGCATCAACCAGGGTTGATCCTGCTTAGCTTCCAAGATCAGACCTTTGGGAATTTAGGCTTGGATAAGAGTGACTGCTACAAATGAAGAATGTTCTGATTCAGGTTTCCTCTGTTGTACACACCCTCGTTAGCCTTTGTAGCAGCTACTTTCTTTCAACCTCTGTTATCTTTTCTCCCCATCAAACATACAGAGATGGTAGGACTCAACTACCTCATAGGACTGTTATAATCACATACATAAACAGCAATGTATACCTGCAGCATTTCAACAGAGTTGTTGTATTAGCCTGCTGTAGCAAAGACAAGAAACCTGTGTCAACATTAAAGGCTAAAATATTTATTAGAGCTGAGAGCCAACATGAAGCAGGAAAATTGCATTCAAAGCACCCCTGACAGATGGCCATCCAGCCTCTGTTTAAAAGCCTCCAAAGAAGGAACCTACACCACGCTAAGGGGCAGAGAGTTCCACTGCTGAACAGCTCTCACATTTTGGAAGTTCTTCCTAATGTTCAGGTGGAATCTCCTTTCCTGTAGTTTGAAGCCATTGTTCCATTGCGTCCTTGTCTCCAGGGCAGCAGAAAACCAGCTCACTCACTCCTCTCTATGACTCCCCCTCACATATTTATACATGGCCCTCATCATGTCTCCTCTCAGCCTTCTCTTCTTCAGGCCTAGTTCTTGAGCCTCAAAGTGCTTGTTCTCCAGACCCTTGAACATTTTAGTCACCCTCCTCTGGAAACATCCACAAGCATGTGGGAAATTCAAATAAAAAGGAGGAAACCATGAAAATGAACAAAATCTGGCTATAATCAGGATGGTAAATAAAGAACAACACTCAAAACTGGGGAATTCCTGACAAGAAACAATCAGGGCCAGCTAATCAGGCAGGAAGCAGCCATGCCTTGAAGCTGCAAGACTATTCAATGCTAATCAAGATGATGAAGTGCAACATCCACACTTCGCTCCAATAGACAAGAGTTCTTTCTCCCACCCTGGGCATTCCACAGATATATTAACCCCGCTTGTCTAGTTTCCAACAGACCTCACAACCTCTGAGGATGCCTGCCATGGCTATGGGCGAAACGTCAGGAGAGAATGCTTCTGGAACATAGCCATACAGCCCGGAAAACTCACAGCAACCCAGTGATTCCGGCCACGAAACACTTGTCTAAAAGTACTTTCAGGCTATGTGTACAAGGCATATATGAAGCATCAATGAATTTCGTGTTTAGACTTGAGTCCCATCTCCAAGATATCACATTAAGTACATATATGGCAATGCAGGTATTCTGAAATGTGAAGGGGGAAAAAACCCAAGAGCCAAAACACTTATGTTCCCAAACATTTTAGATAAGGGATACCTAACCTATAATGGTGAAAAACTGAGCAATATATGTATTCTCTCTCTCTCTCTATATATATATATATAGAGAGAGAGAGAGAGAGAGAAAGAGAGAGTATAGTGCCAGTTGTGATTAGGGTGATTCCAATTTCTTTATATACATAAAGTTCCATCTCCAAGATATCTCCTTAAGTACATATATGGCAATGCATGTATTCTGAAATGTGAAGGGAAAAAGAATCCAAGAGCCAAAACATGCCTGTTCCCAAACATTTCAGATAAGGGATACGCAACCTGTAATGGTGAAAAACTGAGCAATATATATGAAAGAAATGAAGAAATGGGAATCACCTGAATCACAGCTGCCACTAGACTATTCCCAGGCTCCACTTTCTTTGAGTCCTTTGCCCTCTGCAACTTTCTTCTCAGACTTACAGGTGCCTCCTTCTGCCCTCTCCACCACAGAGCTTGCTTTCAAGTCTGTGCGTAAAATACACAGTGCATTTGGAGAGGTTTTGGTCCTATCTGAATTTCCATTTAGGGGGGAAAACACCACCGCGCTCAGGCAAAGGTTGTCAGGCGCACGTGAAGCCTTCTCCCCAGGCGCCTGGGTGTTTTGGAAAGGTTCCTTCTTGTCTCCCTTGACCTCCTTCTCCTCTTTCCTCCCAAACCCCACTTTTCGAGCCGAACAAAACTAGCCAAAGCCTTGGCTTACCTTCCGTCAAAGTCCGCTGAAGCTTCCAGGTAAAACCAGGACAGGAGGATGAACCTCCAGGAGAAATCCATGTCGGGAAGGAAGAAAAAGAAAGAGAGGGAAGAGGGGGAAAGAAGGAAGAGGAGGAGGAGGGTGAAAAGGAGGGGAAAGAAGAGCCTTGGTGCGTCTCTCAGCCGCAGGTTGAAGGGGAAAGAAAGATGTAAGGAGGGAGGGAAAGGGCGAAGGATTCCTCCTCCTCCTCCTCCTCCTCTTCCCTTGAGGCACTCCCAGCGCTGTAAACTGAACTGCGAGGGGAGGCCCTTTGGGGCTGTTGCTAATCCTGGCTCCTGAGGGAGGGAAGAAAGAAAGCGAACAACAGGAGCAGCAGGAGAGGGAGAGAGAGAGCGCGTTCCTGCGTTTCTTTTCTTCCCTTCCCTTCCCTTCCCTCGCTCGCTCGCTCTTAGTTTCCCTGCTTCAATCTGGAGGGAAGGAGGTACCAGCGCCTCGCAGCCGGGAGAGGCGCCCAAGCCCTCGCCTTGCCCTCCGAAGGATTTCGCCCCGAACAGTGTTTCTCCACCTTCCTAAGGCCACGACCCTATGTTCCTCATGGTGACCTCCAACCCTAAAATCATTTTTCTTCCTACTTCGCAACTGTAATTTTGCTACTGTTATGAATCTCAATGTAAAGAGATGATATGCAATTTGGTCCAGGGAATGTGTTTTCATTCGGTGGACCAGATTTGGCACAAATACCCAGTACATCCACATTTGAATACTAGTGGGGTTGGAGGGAATTGATTTTGTTATTTTGGGAGTTGTAGTTGCTGAGATTTATAGTTCACCTACAATCAAAGAGCATTCTGAATTCCACTGACGATGGAATTGAACCAAACTTGGCACACTGAACTCCCCTGACCAACAGAAAATACTGAAAGGGTTTGATGGGTATTGACGTTGAGTTTTGGATTTGGAGTTCATCTACATCCAGAGAGCATTGTGGATCCAGAAAACTGGATTGGAGAAACCACATCAGCTCTAGTTTCTGATACAGAACATATGCCATCCAGTAGTCGCCATCTGCTCGCCCCAGAAAACCATATTTAATAATCTACATCTTATGTGGTAGTAGTAATCTTTCATGGGTAGTCAGGCTCAATGTAGAAATGGTGAGGGCACAGACCATATTTTTGTTCATGCAGACCACTGGTGGTCCACAAACCACAGGTTGGGAACCACTGGTGTAGATGCACTCCCAATAGGTTTCCATGGCTAAGCAAGGATTTGAACCCGTCTCCAGTCCTAGGGTGTGTCTACAACAAGCATGGGCAAATTTGGCCCTCCAAATGTTTTGGATTTCAACTTCCACAATTCCTAAGTCTACCAGGATTGTGGGAGTTGAAGTCCAAAACACCTGGAGGACCGAAGTTTGCACATGCCTGATCTACAGTGTAGAATTAATGCAGTTTGATGCCACTTGTTTTGGAAGTTGTGATGGCTCAATGTTTTGGAAGTTGTTTAGCAATGCACCAGCATTGTTTTGCAGTGAAGGCTAAAGACCTTGTATAACTACAACTCCCATGATTCCATAGGACCTAGCTGTGATAGTAAAAGTGGTGTCAAATGGCATTACCTGTACAGTCTAGATGCACCATAGTCCAATGTACAAACTACCATCACACTGGCTCTTGGGAAGTAAATTGTAGTCATTCTGGAAGGGTCGCCTTCCAAGATCTGGGAGTAAAAGTAAGCCACACCATGGTAGCTGGGAAATTGGGAAGCTGCAGTCTAAAAGTTAAGTCTTACAAGATGAAGGATAGCTTGAGGGAGTAAGGAGAGAAGGGCATGCTGGCTGTTGTAGAGTTGTAGTCCAAATATGCCAGGGCATGGTGGCCAAGAGATTTGGTGAGTTCTAGCAAGGCAGTGTGGTGTCTGTTTCCCCAAAAATTACTTTTTCAAACTCCAACTGGCATTAGTGAAACAGCATAAATAGAAAAATAAAAGTGGCTAGACAGTGAGGATACGAATTACTCAGATTTTTTAGTTTTATATTTATACCTCTGAAAAATATAGCTACTTAAGAGAGTACTTGAAACAAGACATCCTAGCTCATCCCAAAATATCCTGACTACTCATGCTTGGATACGTCTGTATACATTTCCACATGCACTTGCTTGATTCAAAATTGTAGCACATCCCTATGCATACCAGTTTAGAAGTTTAGTCCATGGAGTTGTGCAGAGTCTGAGAGAAGAGTTAAGTTCACACATGGCTGAAATTCTATTACTGGAGGAACTTTAGTAGGCTCACTTAATTTGATACAGAAAGGATTCTATTAAACTGACAAATAATACATGTATAATTTGGACACTTTGTAATTTCTCCATTACAATTTCTGTTTATTTATACATTTTATGCTGCCTTTCAGTCATCTGGTGTACAGAAAGGTTTACAAGTATTGCTCGAAATTAAGGTCTCTGGATCTCTTGATTTGCAAACCACTGGCTGCTGGTTTCATTCTCCTCCAGGAGTCAAAGAAACAATTGTAACACATGAGCAAAAGCATTACACTGGTCTTTGTCTTACCATGTGAAGACATGACAATAATGCTTATTAAGGTAATAGTAGAAGGGAAAGAGCCCTTTATAAGCGGATTTCATCAAGGAAGCCACAGTCATGAGTTTGCAAAACCTGAAGACTTCGCTTCATTTAGGCAATTTCTCGTTGTCTAAGTATGATGACCTTCCAAGTGTAGTGTCTTGGTGGTGAATACATAGGTGACTGTAGAGCCCTATTCTTAACGTACAAGTTCTTCCACAATGAAAGCATCAGTTTCCAGGTGGAAGGCGGTCCCAGTCAGGGTTGGCTTGATACACCTTTCTCTTGGCACATTTCTCCGTTTCACCCTCCATTTGTGCCTCTTTGAATTCCGCAGCACTGCTGGTCACAGCTGACCTCGTTAGAACGCTCAAGGGCAGGGCTTCCCAGTTCTCAGTGTCTATGCCAGAGTTTTTAAGGTTAGCTTTAAGACCACCTTTAAATCCCTTTTCCTGTCCATCAACATTACATTTCCCATTCTTGAGTTGGGAGTAGAGTAACTGCTTTGAGAGATGGTGATCGGGCATTTGGACAACATGGCCAATTCAGTGGAGTTGGTGGCATAGGAGCATTGCTTCAATGCTGAAGGTCTTTGCTTCTTCCAGAACACTGACATTTGTTCACCTGTCTTCCCAAGAGATTTGCAGGATTTTTCAGAGGCAACACTGAGGGAATTGTTCCAGTTGAGTGTGACATCTGTAAACAGTCCACGTTTCGCAGGCATATTGCAGGTTTATAGCCTGAAAATATGTGTGTAATAATAATTGTACAAAACAAGATCTCTGTAGAAAGAAGAAGACATTGAAGGTTTGCTGACCATTTGCATAGTTTATCTACTTACTAAGATTTCTATACCAATTTTCCTGCAAGAAGCTCCAGTATAACTATTCAAATATTGCAATATTACAATTATTGAGCCCCCGTTGGTACAATGGGTTAAACTCTTGAACCAGCAGGACTGCTGACAGTAAAGTCATCAGTTTGAATCCAGGGAATGGGGTGAACTCCTGTCTGTCAGCTCCAGCTTCCTATGTGGAGACATAAGAGAAGCCTCCCACAAAATGGTAAAACATTTGTGTGTTCCCTGAGCAATGTCCTTACAGACAGCCAATTCCCTCACACCAGAAGCAACGTGCAGTTTCTCAAGTTGCTCCTGACATGAAAAAAAAGCTCCATCAAGACCCACAACATACAATAGAAACAATAAATCAGCAATAAAATGTGGCAAAAATCCAATAATGTGTTTAGAGATTGAATACTTCTACTTATCAGTTAATAATGAAGACAAAATGCTTTTATTTTGAACTTCAAGACACATGTAGTGAAAGAAGCAGATCATATGTTGCTAGACTGCCAATGGTAAGGTGTGATGAGAATTGAAGTTCCGCATCTGGAAGTATACGCATTGCTAGTTCCTGATCTGATGGAAAATTCATAATGAAGTAGAAGTGTGTTACTCAGTCTTACTCAGAAAGGCATTCACACTATTACCACCTCAGTAACTAATAATTCTGTGAATATATAAGTCTGATGAAATCATGGGCCCTCAGTACATTTTAGGAAAAGCTCTAACCTCCCACATAGACATTCTACTTTGGCCTTTATCAAATTAATTTGATAGATTTCTTTATTCAAGCTTCGTAACATGTATTTATGCCATTAAACAGTCGGAATGAAAGTAAAACATTAAAAATAAAACAGTGGTTTGACCTTGCTCATGAAGAAAAAAGAAGAAATACTTTGAAAGCCACTTACCAGTTTGGAAATATATTCATGGAATTCTTTGTTAATGCACCTAAACTATAATCCTAGCAGGAACACTACAATCAGATGGGGGGGGGGGGAATAAATAACCAGCCTATAAGCATTCAGTTGAGCAGATGAAATTACAAGCTGTATGGGTTGGGAGACCACATAACAATTTAGAGACAAGTGCAAGTTGTTGATATATTGCCATGAACAAATGTAGAGAATGTCAAAGAGAGAGAAAATCTGAAATCATATGCGGTATTAATTATACCTGACTTGGTCAGAATAGATTGATCTAGGGCTGGGATTCTCAGGTTTTTACAACCGCAGAGTCCTTTTTGAAGCAAAAGTTTCTCATAGAGCCCCAATCAATGTTTATTATATTATATTATATTATATTATATTATATTATAATGTATATATCAGGCATGGGCAAACTTTTTGATCAACATAAACTTAACAGTATTTCAGTGGAAGACCCAGGGGCCATCCAGCCCTTTTGCCATGCAGGAAAAGCACAATCAAAGCACCCCCAATAGATGTCCAGTCAGCCTTTGTAATAATAATAGTAATTGTAGGAATAGGAGCAACCTCATGGGATATCCATTCCAATCCCGTTCTGCCATGCAGGAGAAGCAAAATCAAAGTACTCCTAACAGATGGCCATTAAACCTTTGTAATAGCAACAACAACAACAACAACAGGAATAACCCCAGGGGCCATCCAGTCCAACCTCATCTGCCATGCAGGAAAAGCACAATCAAAGCTCCCTCTGAGCAGTGGGAGGGAAATAAGGGTTTGGAAGTAAGCAAGGTGAGGGGGAAGAGATCTGGGCAGCAAGAAAAATGGCTTTTGGGGGCAAAGGAGGCAGGTTGGAAAAGGCTTTTGGTGGTAAGGGAGGCATGGGGAGAGAGGAGGAGCCATAAAATGGGAACACTTGGAGGGGGGAGGAGAAGGAGGAAACCGTGGAGCCCTCCAGTATATTTCGCAGAGCCCCAAGGGCTCTGCGGAGCACACTTTGCGAACCACTGATCTAGGGCATTCAAACAACAGGCCAAATAAACACCCAAGATACAAAAAGCTCTATAAGATAAGGCAAGATCATTTCTTGTCTAGAAAGAGTTAGGGCCTGGTTCTTTTGGGATACATATATCTATCTCATGTACTGACCCTCAGAAAATACTCTATGTAAAAATGCAGTTATACAGCTTG